CACACACACACACACACATGTATGAATGTATGCATGTATGTATGTATGTATGTATGTTTGTTTGCATGATTGCATGTACGTATATATGTATATATTGTCGATGAAACCGCTTTACAGAACGTGAACGCCTTGAGCGAGTCTAGCATAAATTTTTACTATTTTTATTGTGTCCTTCGTTCTTTCTCATTTTTTCTTTCGTATATCAATTTATATATTCATATATATATATATATATATATATATATATATATATATATATATTGCAACAAAGACATCATGGAAAAAAGCATTGCTCCTTTGATTTGACAAGATTAATATTTTTTAGAATACAATACATATACGAATGTTAGAAGGAACAAACTCTAATACATTAAACTTTGTATGGATTTTATTTTGTACATATAGAAAGTAATTGGGAACTTTCATTCATATTTTCACGAAACAACGTTTTTTATTAACTTTAAAATTTTGATATTTTTTTTATGGATAATTTGAATTGCAAATAATATTTAATCAATTGTACATTATGCATAAACAAGCTCTTTACAATTTATAGGATTGCAATGCATTTTGTTATTGTGTCTTCGGTAAAAGGACTGATCATATTTAATTATTTAATTTTTCTCTTACTTCCTTTTAAGTAGTCACAATATAACTCATAACTGTTACATCTACATAAATAAGTATAGCTGACATAGTATGTGTATATACAAGACACTACACTCCATGAGAACATATTGTTAAAGCTGTAACTCTTTCTTGATGGTATACTTTTTTCATTTATATCTATCAATTATTAATTCTCTTCATTCGTTACAATTTTTGGTATTCCTTCATTAATATAGTTTTGTTTTCTGAAATTCAAAGTTGAAAGTTTCATATAAAATCAATATATGACTTAGAGAATATCTGGTATACTATTTTGCTTATTTTTTTTTTAATATTTATTAAAATATGTTAACATATTCATGAAAATTTTATAGAAAAGATTGTTTTGTAACAAAATTTATGAATACAGTACATATAACAAAACTGAATATACTTAAATAAATAATAATTGCCAATCTTTCTAATTATTTCTCTTATAAGTAATATAAATTATTATATTAATTTATTAAATTTAAATTCAGTGCCTTAGTTATCATAATATCTATTATTTATAATTGAATATTTATTATAAATATTACTTCGCCTGCCTTCTTCTATAGCTATATTTATTTATTTACAATCTATATTTTTGTAAATTATATAATATTTTGATATGAAAACAATGTACGATATATGATAAAAAAAAAAAAAAAAAGGAATCAAACGACATTTAATGAGATCATTTTCTGTATCACGATCTATTGATAATAACCAAAATGCTTGAAGACGCTAAATTCTGCTCTGTGTATTTTCATTAAATTCAATTTCATAATTTACAAAAATTATACGTAACAATACTGTATTAATTTGAAAATTACTAAAAGTGAGTAAAAGTGAATTTGTAGATTCTTAAATTTTGAAAATGTCAATAATTCATAACATTCTTGTTTGCCATCGAGTCATAGCGTCATTATTATCATTGAACAAGAATTATTGTAGCCCCGCAATTGAATGACATTCATTAGATTAAAAAAGTTTTGCCAGTTAAAAGAATATGATATACCAAATGGGTTAAATATCCTTAGTGTACTTCATGATTTCCTTAGTCTTTCTTATCTCCATCCTCTGGATCCTTAAGCGTATGCCATTGGGCGATCGGACGCCTCGGCGATGCTAACATGTCCGACCAGTGTCTCAGTTCCGTGCCACTCGCGTTGTAGCCGAGTATGACTTTGCCAATAGGCTCGGATGTGCCGATACGGTCGTAATCCACGACGGTCACCATCAGATTCACTTTCTGCAAAGTAAAGTTATAATTTTCAGTTACATTGTCTGCTGTGCGTAATTACATTATTTCTTTACATGTAAGAATTGATTGTATTAATTATTCACGCTATGTTTGCTTAACTGTACTTAACACAAGAGAATTCATAATATACGATTCTTAGAAATATCTCATCAATGAAGTAAGGCATAAGCCTCTTGTTCAAGTGGTTTTTGTACCATAACGATCAACAATACACCGTTTATACTAATATAATAAATTTTTGTTAGTACTTGAATGTAACATTATTTGCTTAATTTAAATAATATTTATTCGAACTTTGTAACATATAATAAAAATAATATTTAATTTTCTATTAAAAAAAAAAAAATTAATAAATAAAAAATAATAGAGAAGATCCACTATTAACAATATTTTCTTATTGTACAATGTTTCTATGTGAAACGTAATTTACGCAAATTTCTATTGAAATATTATTCACGTTATAAAGTTGAAAATTTTTTTCTATACGTATGACCAACCAAATATTACAATTTCAATTTTTTAGCTTTAGGAAGTATTACAGTGAAATGTAATTCTTATATGATATAAACTCATTATTCATTTAAAAAGAATCAAGATTAATAAAGATATAAAATTATCCGAGCATTAGTTTCCTAATGTTTTTTTTAAAACATTTTTTCAAATTTTTCTTTATAATGTTGCACAAAACTGATATATTTTTTTACCCATAATTATATTAAATATTTTTTCCACTTACAATGTTTTCGATTGCATATTTTAATGTTTTTAATAATCTTACCTGAATTTGTTCAAAAGGTACTTCAAAAGTGAATGATTCGTTGTAGTAAGGATTAAGAGTGCACTTCTTGATAGACGTTTTCTTCTTTTTCAGTCGTTTGCCATTCTGCATTAGAGCAATCTTGACATAGGGATCAGATAAACCTCCGACGTCCATCTTTTTCAGATTCTTCGCTTCCAGAATAACAACCGTCAATTTTCCGGCAGTCGGTACGTATCTCAGAGAGAAACATATATCTCCGAGCTTATTATCCTATTAAATAAATGACAATATGATTTAAAACAACAATTACACTACAAAATTGTAATTGTGTTTATATTTTTATTAGACGTATTGTAAATAGTATTTTAGTTACTTCATTAATTCAAATTTATAAAGAATTTATGTAAGAGTAAGAATAAAATTTTATTTAAATTTTGTGAATATTTTTTGTAATTCTTTATTTAATTATTAAATTAATTTTGAGTTAATTATGTAAAATTACAGGTATTATGAAATAATAAAATTTTTTAATTGAATTTAAGCATTGAAAAACAGTAAAGGAATTTTTTAATAAATTATTTAAATAACTACTTGAGAATAAGACTCTAATTCAATTTAAATATTTTATATAATGGCTGATTCAATCATAACTATTAATTTATTTTAAGATTACTGATTCTACATCAATGTGATCCTACAATGTGTTTTATGTTTTTTTTTTTTTTTTTTTTTTTTACTGACTGTAAGGTATAATTTCGAAGAAACAAATAGAATGAATTATAGCCTCTAAAGCGTTTAATTTTATTCATATTACTCTGTTGCTTTAATTTGATCAACATTTTAAAAGTTGCTGTAGCTTTCAAAAGTTAGAATTCTAATGAATTAAACATTTTCACGTACAGTACGGATTTTTATATTACAGCAGAAAATTAAAAATACAAAATTTACTTAAAATGCAGAGATCGTATATATTGAAAGGGTGAAAGCTCCTAAGTAATTGCAAACGTAATATTGTCTTACCTGGCCACCTTCTCCCTCGACGCTTTGTAGCTCTCGCCATTCCTCGATCGTTTGTGCCAAGTCAATTTGACAGAGTGGCACTTTCACCTCTCCGATTTGGTCATGCTTCGAGAATCTGTCGAAGTCGAAGATGGCGAATACTAACGTCTTATTCATTGCATCAGCATATGGTACACCCTACAAAGTATTCATGATCAATGGCAAAGATAGCCTAAGGTCATATACATTTTTCAAACAAATCATGGACCATACATATCGTTAATATTCTATGAAACTAATTTCATGTGTTCTAGAAAAAAATGTTAATAATAAGTTTCTCATAATTAGTGACATTTTATTAAAACAGTATGTAAGTAAATAAATATGATCGGACAATCGTATTTTCTTGTAATAAAAATCTTTTCAGAAAATTTTTTACGTAGCTAAAAAAATTAATGGGTTCTATCTATTTAAGTGTATGCTATTTTCGCTTACTTTAAATGTGAAGATCTCGTTGAATTCTGGATTTAACGTCTTTCTATGGACTTTTGTTTCAAACTTCTTCTTTTTATCGGGTAATAAGTAAACTTTAACGTAGGGATCAGATGTACCGCCCATGTCGAGGGCTGGTAGCTCCTCGGCCTTTATTACAGTCACAGCTAAACTATTTGAATTAAAGTCATACTCCAGCTGTAAACGATACACAATTATTATTATTACCTATTATTGTCGCAATCATACAGATACGCATATTAACAAATGAAAATAGATTTTTAACACCTATGCTGTTATTTATTAGCAATTACATTTATTACAAATTAAATTTATATATAAATCATTTAGAGTTTGGATAGTATGTTTCTTTATTAAACTAAGTAACTATTAATAGTCTTAATTATAATTAAAGCATAGCTAATGTATAGAAGATAAAACTTTGATACACCTTTATTCGCCAACTATTTAAGAACAGCTATTTGATTATAGAGAAATATATATTTCAAAATATTAATTCTGTATTCTGTCAGTAATTAAAAAATACATATTTTCCATAAGATATAAATTTATATTATATCAAATCTTATTATACTTGTAATTGAATTTAAAATTAATATAATTCAGATAATTTTTACTAATTTGAAGTTTTATTTTATTTTAAATTCTTAATCAATGTGAGTATACGTTTATATATCATCTTCACTACCCCCTCTTGCTTATAATCTATTAATTTTTTCTCACTTGTACCAACTTCCTTTCCCTTTCTCCTAATACATGTTGTTTTGTTATACTACCTCTCTATTTTACATTATCTGTAACTCAATGGCTATTAGATAGTACGCATTCACGTGAGAAACTAAATTAAAAAGTGTAAAGGGAGATAAAACAAGCAGATCCCAACGCTAAATACACACACGCACACCTGAAATTCACCATGAACTAATAATGTTATTTCTATATCCTATATGTCCCTATGTCCTATATATGTCATAGAAGTTGTATTCAATATCGTTATATTTTATGTTATTTCTTACAACATTATATTTATTTAGTAAAAATTATATTCGCTCATGTTTTTGAAATTTTTAAATATGAAAAAAATATTCCAGTATTTTTAAAGATATAATTGATATTCATTGATTCGTAAATTATTTTATAATAGTAAAACAAAAAACAATATTAATGTAAATAAATAAACAATATTAATGTAAATTTTCTAAAGATTTATTACATTCAATTTTGTATTACATCTTACAATATGCTTTTTTAAATTTAAAAGTTCTACAATTTTTATCAACAATAAAACTCTTTTGTTATCTCAATTAAAAATATTTGATAATGCGTTTGATAATCTAAAACTTCTACAACTTTTATCAACAAGAAAAACTCTTTTCTTATGTTAATTAAAACTGTGTGATAATATACTAATGTTGATTTACTTACAAGCATTTCAATTATTATTATCTACTAAAATATTGCACATCTAATTGTGCGCATTTGAATTTTTTAAATTTTCTGTAATAAAACATATATTTAATTTTTTATAATTAAGATGTGTATCGTTATATCTTTCTCAAATATTGTTGATACAATACGTTTCTTGAATAGTTTATTAAGGTTCTTATCTTTTATAAATTTATAGTTTACTTATCTTTTTATTTATTTAGATTAGACGAATTATATAAATCCATAGCATTAATAAAATAATAAATTTATGCAATTTTTTTATTTTTATGATTTTTACATTAGACATTTATGATGTCACATTTTTTCTGTACATTTTTATATCATATTTAAAATAATTGAAACTATGCATTTTATTAATGAAGTATAATTTAAAGATAACAAATAATTCATTTGAAATATTTAATTTTTCTTGTATATTTTTACGATTAATATTATTAATATAATGCTAGCATTCTAAATTATTAGCACCATTATTATCGTATTTTATAATCTGAAATGAAGCTATTTATTAATACTTACATTATTTATAATCAATACTAAAGTAATTTAAAAATAAGGCAATATATCAATAATTGCTCAAAATCTTTATAAAAACCGAGTTAAGTTACATTCTATTTATTTTCTATGAGGTTAGTTAAAATTTATTTATAGCAATGACCCTGTAAAATAATTGTTGATAATTTACTGCTGATAAATAAAATTATTTTAGTGGTATTAAATATATGATAACAAACATAAATGGGCGACATGTTTTATCTGGAAAATTGTATTTCAGCATTAATTGGATATATAAATTATTGTATACTTATTATTTATATGATACAATAAATATATATGAGACCATGTATACACGCATGCATAACTTCATTATCTATTTCATAAAATATACTGATATAATATACAAATATATATGTATATAATTTAAAATTACAAATTTATATATATTTTTAATATATTTGTGTGTTACATTTTGAATAAAAAAAGTGAGACTTTTCCTAGTGATAATTCTTAATTCTAATTATAATTATATATTTATAAATATTTATCTTGTTTTAATATAAATATATCATAGAACTTTTTATTATGGTGGAGTTAATAATAATTTGTTATAATAATATGTTGTAATAGATTAGAAAAATTAGAAGGTATAAACATTATGATAAGGAAAATGTTGCCTTTAATATTTTTATAATAAATCAATGTTGTACATTCCGTGATGTTTTCCTTTTTAAATCATTAAATATATACGATTGATTCACCGAAGAATGAATATTTGTAACAAATATTAACGATTATTATATTAGTTTGCTTTAAGCATATGAAATTTATACTTTAAATAAAAAACAAATTAATAAAAAAATATTACTCTTAATAAATGATTAGCATAATTATTTATAACAAATTATTATCAAGTATAAGGTCTTTTAATTATTTAATAATTATTAAGACCATTAACAAATTTAAAATTTTGTATTTTCTGAAAACATATTATTTATTGTATTGGTTTTATAATGCTTTGAGTAAAATTTGTTAATAAATAATTTTAAACAATAGATAATAATAAACAATATAAAAGGCATATAAAGAAATTATGAGACAGAGAGTATTTTGAAATCTTACCTTATATTGGAGCCTTCCAAGCTTCACCTCATTTTGCTTGCTGTCGCCTTCGTCGGGTTCCTCGACGTTGTCGGTCAGCTCTTCCATGTCGGGCTGCACCTGCACATGTCGCAACAAAGCCTTTGCTCGTGTGATGTCTCTACGAAAGTGAACAAATCAGCCTTACCTTATCTTTGTACGTTGTACTCAGGAGCTGTACCGATTTAAGGTCGACTGCGCCCTTCAGGCCTTTCTTCCCATCCTTTGAACGTCTTTTGCGGAAGAATCTTCTTATGCAAAATCCACAGAATCCGAGTACTACTATAGCCACCGCTAAGCAAGATAAATATGATTTTTAAATGTAGGGTAAAATTAAGCTGATTATATCAATATTTTAATCATGTGAATTTAAATGCTCATGTTATAATTTAGAATTGAACTTTAAATTTATGAAACGGCAATCCTTATTTGAAGATTTTTAAATCTAGTATTTTATTAATAATATTTAAAATATGTACAAATAATAAATTTTTTTTAACAAAACTATTGTATTATATAAATAATAATAACTATTAACACTTAAAAGTATTCGAAATAGTTATATATATTGATTTAAATTGAGAAGAATTAATGAAATTCGTAATAAAGTTTATATTATTTTATAAAGTTTATAATTATTTTAAAACGCATCATATAATATTTAAGATTAAACGGAATACTAAATTCATTAAAAAGCATATTCTAATGTTATCAACAATTTATTAAAAATTTTTTCGTTTTCATTAACATAGGTAGAAATAAAAAGTCATGTAACTTTAAAACTTAAAAGGTTTAAATTATTTAAATGTAAATTAACGTCAATATCGGTGATTAATAATAGAACAGAATAAAATGAATATAAATTACATAATGTAAACTACTAAATCAGAATGTACTTTATTTAGTCTTTACGTCGTTTAATAAAATAAGCACATTATCATGCATTAATTATTGTATAGTCTAAATCATAAAATAATTTTATGTGCAAAGCGTACTAAGAATGATTAAAAAGAAGTATTTCAAAATATTTAATCGGCTGTTGTACTAGTTTACTGATTTTTTATTTTTTTCCCCATTAAATAATGCGATTATATTTTCGTTGGTAGTCATATAAAATGCACTTAAGAAGCACATCAAGACGATTTTCCAAATTAAATTTATGAAAATGAAATTTATAGAATGAACAATATCTATATTATTATATTAAATAAGCGTTTAATAGCATAAGTCTACATTTTTGTTAAAAGAATTACCTATTAAAATGGCAACAAGGCCCCACGTAGGTAAATCTGCTTCAGCAGCGAGTTTCTCTACGGTCTTCTCGATATTTTCTTCCACGGATTTTGTTGTCGTCGTAGTGATGCTTTCCACTTCCGTCGTCATGATTACTGCAAATGAATAGAACTTTTTTATTTGCTTATTCGAGAAAATGATTCACTTGCAAAAATGAAAGAGAGAAGTAATCAAATTACAGTGACAATCAAAACACTTTTATGGCGCTCGAACATTTATCATATATGAAAATAACGGAATTTCTTTGTTGACATTTGCACAATTATTGCAAGTGCCTACTTTTATATAGATGTGATGTATGAAACTTACTGGGTCCCCCCGTTTCTTCTGCCATTGTGACAGGTCTCAACGTTGTCAGGTTTTGACTGACAGTTGTTAAGACTGTCTGCGTCTCCTCGACTTTCGCCGTCACCGGCACTTGTCGCTTAACCAACGAAGGCATTTTCTGAGAACAAACAATTAAAATTTTAAGCTGCATTGATTATTTTTCTTATCCTTTTGTACTTTATACAACATTTTTTTTCAATTATTTCGAAACTTGCTTAAACGCAATTAAGTACCTTGTGAAAGTAAAGTTCTTGAATATTATGATTTAATTTAAGAAAATACAAATTTCTTATCTTCATGAGAAAATCATATACTTTTGAAACTAAATAAAACAATAATTGATCCAAAAAAAAAATATACACGAAATATATTTATATGCAAAAAAATATTTTTATTGTTTTTATTTTCACACCGGTTCGATATAAACGGAGCATTTCCATGTGGACAGTTGTTCGAAAATGCTGTAAAACGCTATGATTCACCCACACGCAGCGAAGTACCTCACTTATAGCGCCAATTCGCACGCTTGCACTTTATGCAATTAGATTCGTTTCAGATAAAAAATAAAGAAGAAAATCGTCGATCCAACTGTAAATAATGAATGAAGAGTGCGACCCACGGATACGTGGTACGCATGCCCATACTAACAGAACACGAGCAAAGAAGAAATAGTGATGCAGTGCAGCGTTGTAGCCGCGTGGCGGGCAGTTCGAGACTGCGCTTCCGTCATTAGCAGCGGAGGCGGTAGCGATCCATGTCCGACAACTGGTCCCCCCGCGAATCCGAGTTCAAGGTGGGCCTCCTTGCCGCGTTCTTTTAGCCTTCGGTCCTAACGCTTCTTACATATTGCTTTTGTCACCTACTCGAAGTCAGGCTCTCGTCGGACTTCCTGCTACCGTTTACCGTTGATGTCCACTTTCAAAATATTTGCCAGCCCCAGCCATTAATTGATCATCCCTTCTTTGCTGTGTTGTTAGGGAAAGTGGGTTCGCATAACGACACAGAATCAACGAAATTAGAGTAATATATGGCTATCAATATTTGGCCTCTATAATAACGTATTACACTTCAATGAATTAAATATAAATGTTTAAGCCATCGAAATTTGCTAGGTGCATAACGATTATCTATTCCTATTTATCTAGTGGCATCATTCGGATTTTTAAACTTTCTAAATTCTAAATTTGTACATTTATTTTTAAAAGTAGTCAATAATTTTCTCACGTTTACGTGAAATCATTATACGACACTATGTATACGTCAGTACGATACGCCGTTATACACACGATACTTACAATACACAATATTCATACATTTCAAAGATAGAGCTTTTTTTTTTTAATAAATGTAATTTTCAAAAATTTTATCGAGTTTCATAAATATCGAAACGTATATACTATATAAAATCTGGTTTCTAACGTGAAAAATGACGCACTATTCTAAATCCGTTTTAATAAAAAAATTAATTATAAATCGAATTTATCTTTTCTTATGATTTATGCTATAATTCGTCATTTATTTACCATTTATTCAAATATATTAATTTATTAAAAAAATTGAAGTAACGTTTATTTTTGACTCGATCACTAATTACCATCTTTTTTTAATTTTCAGTCGGTAAAATAAATTTATATTTATAGTTCTGCATGTAAAATATAAGTGTATTACTTTATATATACTTTTCTGGACAGTAATTACGAAGAATATAATTTAGAAAATCACTCGTAAAAATTAAAAACTAATTTATCAAAATTAATGCACGTGACTTTCTAATTTGCAAAAGATAATTGCCGACTGTAAATTTAAAGCCGAGTACTCTTTAGAGTATTGTTATTATTACAATAATATAACACTTATAAGACATCTTGATTTGAAATATATATTCAATTTAAAAAAAAAAAACATTATATTTATATATATATATATATATATATGTATATATATATGTATATATATACACATATGTATATATATGAGTAACACGCTAAAAATAATTATGATGTTCATTATTTGTTGGAGATTTTATTATTTCCAGACAAATTATTGGTTTCTATACGTATATACACAGAATTTTAATAATTGATAAGCAAGCTGTGCAAGAATTACATGTATCTTATCCGATTCAAAAAGAAAGTGTAAAAAAATTTTGATTTTACTCTGGTTGGGCTCAAAAATATAGTGGAGTAAGAGAGTGAAAGCCTAGAGAGAAAACGTGAACACAAATATGAATCGCCATCCACAATGGCATTGGTCCAAAAAAAGTATCTTTGCGACAATTCCGGCAGTAAGCTTTTCAAATGGAGTGTTATATTAACAATGCGCAAACTAGCGCCTCTTTTCAATGACCACCCATATAGGAATAAAAAAGTGACAAATAAGAAAGAATATGAATGACTGAGGTTGGGATGGATAAATGAGTGGCATCCTACTAGGATAGATCTGTCAGTTTTGGTCAATTGCCAAATTATTATGTTCACTACTTTGTGTAATATTGGTAAACATTACATGTTTTTATTCATTCTGAAACCAGATATTCTAAGTTATAAGGGATAATAAAGTTACCGCTACATTAAATAATGTGTCTGAATCGAAAGAAATTGAATTTTCGAACGATGAAATAAAAAAATGTTTAAACCAATTATTACGAACAATTAATATAAAAATATAATATTTTATTAATTCTTATTAATATTGATGGCGATAATTCATTTCTATTTTACTTCAACTTGAAAACTTGTTTGAAATTTAGCTAAGGTCGTGAAACATTGATAGAATTATTTTTTTGTTGCTTCTATAAATATATAAAAAAAGGCGTTGATAATGTGTATGACAATTTAATGAATTAGAATCATGGATTTAAAAAATATTTAAAAAAATTTAATACGTTGTATTTCTCTATTGTTCTGCTACCATAATTTTAATTTTTACCGAATAATTACAATAAGTACAATAGTATACAATAAGTACTGTTTACTAACACGTAATATAGAAATTGCAGAAATGTTTGATAACTTAACACTTTATTTCAACATTACTTGGCGAATTTCCTATCTTAATCAATCTTTTAAACTATCGTACAATCTAATGACATGTTGCATTTTAATAACTATTTAACATACAAAATTATTTAATAAAAGCACTATTTCAGTCAATAAGATAGATTTCTGGCCCTTGTGAAGTAATTTTATTTTTTACACTAATATTAAATATCGAATACTAACTTTCTATTATTTCATGTTTCTTAAAACATATTTTAATATTTTATGCATTGTATACAAATTTTATTTCAAAATGTGATTAGAAGATAATTCACTGGTAAAACGTTTTCTCGTAAGATTAGAATTCTTTTTTAAGACTTTTTGTGTTATATATTTTATATACAAAAGATAATTATGTAAAAGATAATTTTTTAATATATGATTTTTATTAATATTTATACTTTTTAATCAATATTTTAATTAAATTACTATTTTATCAATGTCAAGAAAAAAGTATGAATAAGGTTTGCTAGTCCTTTTATAATTTTTGGGACAATACAAAAACGAAGAAATATTAAGTGACGTATCGATTAGCGCGTGCAGGTTAAATCGTCACGTAGACACATAATTTGAGATATCGCCTTCGTCACCTCAACTGTGGCTATATTATTTTTATCCTCGTATCTTGGGCAGATGAACGACATAAATATTCATCTATCGTTGACGAGCATGACATGTATGGCGACGAAAATTATTTAAAATATAGTAAAAGTCAAGAGAGAGAAGGGGAGAGATAGCTTATGTGTAATACAAATTGTTTAACTCCCTTATCTGAATAAATGCAACCAAGATTTTTCTTAAATGCAATACTTATAATTTTTAATATTTCAATATTGCAGAAAGATTTATTACATGTTTTAGCTAATAATATTTAATAGATACCAAAAGATAAGCAGAAAATACTGTAATTTGTTTATAAAGTTTAATAAAAATAATACGGAAGAAAAGAACTATTTTACTGATGGTAATATGTACTTGATAATTCTAATGATAATAGAATTTAATTTGTATTTAATGAATTATTTTAATCGTTATCTATCTTTAATTCGAAAATATAGGTCGTTGCATATGCTGTATTCATTTTATGGATCTATGCAATTAAAATAAGACAGACTTTTTATTTAAACAGCTTAGAGTATCTGCATACAATTAATATTGATATAAAAATATTATCCGAGTATCTTATATTTATTTTTCCAAAAATATTTTTATAATTTTATAAGAATCGAGACACCGATATTATAGAGAATAAATTTTATAAAAAAAATTATAAAATTATAGAGAAATTCGTGCAGAACAAGATAAAGAGAGAGGGAGGAGACAGACAGACAAAAAGTAAAAAGATAGTGAAATAATGGCAATAAGAAAACAAAGTATAATTTTGTTCGATTTAAAGCCCACTAATGATTAGCGATAACTTTTATCTTTTTCTTCTTTTTTTGTTTTACGAGTGTTTTATATTATCTTTTTTTTTCCTAACCTCTTTTAAATTTGTACCTTAATCGCTCTTATTTTGATTTATTTAATTATACATATATATGACATTTTAAATTGTATAATATAAACTGAATCGTCAGTTTTATTATGAATTATATCTAGAATTTAAAGGAGTATTTTAAAAAAATCATTTTTATGATATTTTTATGATGATTTTAATGATGTTTACATAATGTATTAATTTTTTTTTACATCGACATCTGACAAATGAGAATTCGCTCATTTTTAATAATATATATTCCAACAAATAAATTTGTATTTATTCAAATTATATATAGAAAAATACTTTTCACGTAAAGGTTTATGAAAATAATATATGTTCTAAAAGATTGATTACTTAAAACTGAAATGTTTTAAAAAATTTCTTGTTTTGTATAGTTGTTATCCTTGTAATATGCATGAATTCTCACAAAAAATTGGTTTGTTATATCATCTCAAGGCTATATTTAAAAAAACGTTTGGAACTATTTATAATGATAGCTGAGTTAAATTTTGCATAATAAAATCTAATGTCAAATAAAGTTTATCGTACATGTAACATTAGCAACTCATGAAAAAATTCTTTTTTCAGAACTTTTTTCTA